GTGGAACCGCATGCGAACGCAGCCACTGTGGCCTTCGGTGGAGCTCCCTATGGAGCCACGAAACGTGTGATGGGTGTGCCGAAATGGGGGTGGAACCGCATGCGGGCGCTGCCGCTGGGGCCTTCGGTGGATCACCCTATGGGGCCACGAAACGTTCGAGGGGTGCGCTAAAATTGAAGTGGAACTGCATGCGGACCCTGCCACTGGGGCCTTCGGCGGAGCACCCTGTGGGGCCACGAAACGTGTGAGTGGTGTGCCGACATGGAGGTGGAACTGCATGCGGACCCTGCCCCTGGGGCCTTGGGTGGAACACCCTGTGGGGCCGCGAAACGTGTGAATGGTGCGCCGAAGTGGCGGTGGAACTGCATGCGGACCCTGCCACTGGGGCCTTGGGTGGAGCACCCTATGGGGCCGCGAAGCGTGTGAGGGGTGTGCCGAAATGGGGGTGGAACTGCATGCGGACCCTGCCACAGGGGGCCTTCGGTGAAGCCACTTGTAGGGCCACGAAACATGTGAGGGGTGCGCCGACATGGTGGTGGAACCGCGTGCGGACCCTGCCACTGGGGGCCTTCGGTGGAGCTCCCTATGGGGCCACGAAGCGTGTGAGTGGTGCGCCGAAATGGGGTGGAACTGCATGCGGACCCTGCTACTGGGGCCTTCGGCGGATCACCCTATGGGGCCACGAAACGTGTGAGGGGTGTGCTGAAATGGGGGTGGAACTGCATGCGGACCCTGCCACTGGGCCTTCGTTGAAGCACCCTGTAAGGCCACGAAACATGTGAGGGGTGCGCCGGAATGGGGGTGGAACTGCATGCGGACCCTGCCACTGGGGCGTTCGGCGGAGCACCCTGTGGGGCCACGAAACGTGTGAGTGGTGCGCCGAAATGGAAGTGAAACTGCATGCGCACCCTGCCACGGGGGCATTCGGCGGAGCACCCTACACGGGCCGCGAAACGCGTGAGGGGTGTGCCGAAATGGAAGTGGAACTGCATGCGGACCTTGCCACAACGGGGCCTTCGGTGAAGCACCCTGTGGGGCCACGAAACATGTGAGGGGTGCGCGGAAATGGGGGCGGAACTGCATGCGAACCCTGCCTCTGAGGCCTCCGGCGGAGCACCCTATGGGGCCACGAAACGCTGTACTAGGCGGGTGAAGCGCAGGGTGGAGAAGGGGGAGGAGGGAGGGGGCAGCGGGAGGAGGAGGAACGCGGGGCGCTGTCTCTTCAAAACGACGACCCAACACCACAGGATGGTTGGGAATTATGCTACAGGAGTTCCCCACATAAGGCTGAGGCGGGGCCTCCGCTGGACGGGTGAGCGGGGCACGAAACCTAGGAGGCAACACGGTATCTGAACACCCTTGTCGCTCAGGGGAGGCACGGGTGGGTGGGAGGGGCACGTAATCTGATAAATCACATGGTATCCGAATACTGTCCTCGCTCAGGCGGGGCCTCCCTGGACGGGTGGGAGGGGCACGTAACCTGATGAATCACATGGTATCCGAATGCTGTCCTCGCTCAGGCGGGGCCTCCCTGGACGGGTGGGAGGGACGCGAAACTGGATAAATCACATGGTATCCGAATGCTGTCCTCGCTCAGGCGGGGCCTCCGATCCGGCGTGTGAGTTGAAGGGGGTGGGTGGGCTGGGGTGGCTCTGCCGGGGTAGGGGGGGGGTCTTCCACAGATTGGGTTCGGTTGGTCGGGGTTCGGTTGGCCAAAACGGGCCCAAACGTTGCCAAGAAGCCGCCAGCCAAGACGGGCCAAGACGTTTCTGGATCTCCCAAAAGTCCATCCAAGACGCCAAACATGAACCCAAGACAGCCCAAGAGGCCGCCAAGACGCCCCCAGAGGCCCCCAAGAGGTCTCCCAAAATGGCCCCGAGCGGCCAACATCATCGATTTCCCTTAGGAAACGCTACATTTTTAGCATGTTCGCCTCTTGGGCCGTCACAGTGTCCACAACGGCTCAAGGGGCCCTCAAAAAGGCTCCAAGACGGCCTAAGAAGGGCTTACGCAGGCCCAGGACGCCCCCAAGACGGCGCAAGAGGGACCCAGGACGGGCCCAAGAGGCGCCCAAAAGAGCTCCAAGACGGCCCAAGAAGGGCCCAAGACGACCGGGAGGCCCACAGGAGGCCCCAAGACGCCCCCAAGAGGCCCCAAGAGGCCCCAACTCGCCCCCAAGGACCCCCCCAAAGGGGTGTGGCCGGGGTGGGCCTGCCGGGAAAGGAAAGGAGGGGGAGGGAGGGAAGAAAAACGTTTTTAACTGACCATTTGATTGACTCGTCCCGCCCGCCACCCTAGGGACCCCCTTTTCTTATTGATTTCCCCATCCCGAGTATGTTCGGGAGGGTATCCGAGACCTTCCACAGATCGGACGGGACCCGTCCCGGGACCCTCCCCAAGACCCTCCTCGAGACCGTCCCGGGACCCTCCCCAGGACCCTCCACCGGAACTCCTCCCCGGAACCCCCGGGCACCTCCCCGGAATGGAACGCGCTCTTGGATGTCCCGAGCGGTCCTGGGCGCTCCCGGCCCGTCCCGGCCGTCCCAGGCGGGGTCCTGCGCGGTGCCAGACGCGGTGACGGGCAATCCCGAGAGCGATCCTGGACAGTCCCGGGCGCCACATCTTAATCACCATCACAACCACCATCACCATCACCAGCATCATCATCAGCATCAGCATCCCCATCCCCATCACCATGATCATGATCGGCATCATGGTCATTGCCATGATCAAAATCATCATCCTCCTCCTCATCATCATCATCATCAGCAGCATCATCGTCATCAGCATCATCATCAACATCAGCATCAGCATCATCATCATCATCATCATCATCATCATCATCAGCATCGCCACCACCAACACCACCACCACCATCATCATCATCATCATCGTCGTCGTCGTCATCATAATCATCATCATCATCATCATCATCATCATCATCATCATCATCATCATCAGCATCAGCATCATCATCATCATCATCATCATCATCATCATCATCATCATCATCATCATCATCATCATCATTATCATCATCAGCAGCATCATCATCATCAGCATCATCGTCATCATCATCATCATCATCATCATCATCGTCATCATCATCGTCATCGTCATCGTCATCATCGTCATCAGCATCATCGTCATCGTCGTCATCGTCATCATCATCACCACCATCATCATCATCATCATCATCATCATCATCATCATCATCATCATCATCATCATCAACATCAACATCATCATCATCATCATCATCATCATCATCATCATCATCATCATCAGCATCATCATCCGGAGCGCCCCGGATCGGCGGCACTGGCCGGAGGCCATTTCAATCACATGGTATTCGAATGCTGTCCTCGCTCAGGCGGGGCCTCCCTGGACGGGCGAGTACCCTCCTCGCTCAGGGGGGGCCTACCTGCAGGGTGGGAGGGGTACGAAATCATATGATATGGTGTTGTATGATATCTTATGGAATTGTATGTTATGGTATGGTATGTATGGTTTTGCGATGGCATGTGGAACAGGAAGCGGAAGAAGGAAAAGGAGAAGGAGAAGGAGAGGGTGTTCTTGGAAAACAAGAACCCCACTCAAGATGTGGGGAAATGCAAGGCTCGACCGTGCAGGCGCGCGGGCATCGCCCAGCTTCGGATAGCAGTGCACAAGCATGCTGGTGCTGAAAGCAGTGCAAAGGATAAGACGGTGAGACGAGGGCAAATCTGGTCAAAATCGGTCCCCCCCGAGGGTTTCCCCTGGAGCAATCGTTCCCCCGAATCTGGGGGCCCGAAGACGGCACCCAGAGGCCGAGAGTCGAGCCCAGAACCTCGAACCTCGCCCCCATGCCTGCTGGCCGTTGCTGAGCCACCTCAGGGCCACAGCCATCTCCAAGGCTGCATGCAGCAGCCCCAGGCCCCATCGAGCCATGACAAACATCACAGCGGAAGAGGTTTCGCTATGGTCCGCCTCCGGGAGCTCTTCATGGGCCTCGGGACAGCCCAACAAATTACACAGGATGAAAGCTGGTCACGGGGAATTGGCCGAGACCTCGCGGGGTCGACGTTATGAAAAAACAGCAGGCCCCCAGCCAACTCCGACCTATTGCCTCTCTCAAGATCGGTTCTGCGGGAACTCATGGGGGCCTCGTGTACCATCTTGTTGGCTCTTGAGATATCGTCGACGCTGATCGACGCTACATCTGCGCGATCTGATCGACTACCATGCGCACAACGATCCTAGTGTACTCTAAACACGGAATTACGCAGGAATGCTACCGAAGAACGGCGCCCGGACGTGGACCCGTGGAACTGGCATCTCCCGGGGAGCGTTCTGACCAACACTTCGAGGCGAATCCAGCCGTGGCGACGAGGGCCTCACAGCAAGACCAAGAGGCGAAAACGAGGCAAGGGTAACGGTATCGGAACCTGTTCCTCAGCTGAGCTAAGGGGCAACGACAGGGGGGGACGGGCATGAGGGGGAAAGCATCGAGATGGAATCGGCGATACATCGCCGATAGATCGGCAAGATGCCCCCGATGGAGAGTCGGCATGTTCCTGGGCAGGGTGGGCTATCGAGCCCCTATCGGTGATGAGTGGGCGATGGGATATCGGGCCCCTATCGTTGCCCCCGATGAACTGCCTGCTCCTCCCCAGCCCCTCGACGTCATGCTCTGTTTCACAACGTCGACCCTCGGAGATCTCTGACCCACTCCACGGGACTGGTCGCTCTTCCTGAGTCGTGGTTGACCGTCCCGAGGCCAGGCCAGGGCCCCCAGAGGCCGAACGTCGTGTTTTTCCACGACGCAAGAGTGTCTGGGTCGGAAGTTGGCGGCGAGCAGAGGGGGTCGGAAGGCTTCTTATGAGGAGGCTGCTTCTTAGAAGAAGCTGGTCCTTCATCTGTAGACAAGGACCGCGCCTTCTGAGAAGCAGTGGTGTTTCTAAGAAGCCTTGCCCCCTCCCACTATCCTCTTTTGAGCGTGGCCCAGACAGGAACGGCGCCTGCAGCTCGCGCTTCCTCTCGTCGTAGTTGGCCCGTATCTTCACCTGCCGGTCGCGGCAGTGGGCCAGCTCCTGTGGCCCCCGGAGGAGCCGCGCGCTGGCGGGCTGCAGAGCAGTGTGGGGGAGGGCAGCAAAGAGCGGAGCAGCACAAGTTGTCCCGCTGATGTGTCTCAAGTGACCTCGAGTCATGAAAGAATAACGACGGAAGGTGCCTCGATACTTTCGGCCTCTGGGGTCCCTTACTGGGCCTCGGGAGCGTCAAAACATAATCCAGGATGAAAAACCAGTCCTGGGGAATGGGTCGAGACCTCTGGGGATCGAGGTGAAGAAAGCAGTCATGACGTCGGGGGTCTGGGATGGTCCCGCTGATATGCCTTAAGCCAGCTCAGTCGGCACAGGAAGCCTCAACAGGGCCCCAAGAAGGGTCCACGAGAGGCACCTCGAACCGCCATTCCGAGCCGTCCGCCCCAAGAGGACCTCCGAGACCGCCAGCCAGCGCCCAAGAAACTCCCAAAAGGCCCGGAGAGGACCCCAAGAAGCCCAAAAGAGGCCCCGAGAGGGTCCCCAAAAGGCCCCCAAAGACCGCTTCTGGGAGTCGCCGGACTGGCGCATGCCCCTTGAATTAATCAACATGAATCCAATATTGCGACATATCGAAACATGTCTTCCTAGAAAATCAACACATGCATTTGCATGTGAATATGTTCCCCTCCTGGTAAGCTAAGGCTACTGCCAGAGGCACTCAAAATTGGAAGACCGCGGACCAGACGTTCAATACTCGCTCAAGTGGCCTGCTACGGTCAGGAGCTTTTGCTTAGCATTTCGCGGCGGTGGCCCCAGCGACACGCTATGCCCGGCAACCGGATAGCGTGTCGCTCCGCTCGCGGGGCGGGAGATTGTGAACATATCGGGGCGTGGACGCTTGAAGACTGGGAAGTGGACAGCGCGTCGCCCCGAAGCGTGGTGGGCCCAGCCTGGAGATCCAGGCGGCCCGACAGGTAGGAAAGAGTGGGCGGCGGACGGAGAGCGAGAAGCCGCCGCAAGCGTGAGGATAGGGCAGGGTAAGGCTGCAAAAGCATAAACTGTCGGATGGCCGTGCGGATCTACGAGAAAACGCATGGACGTGCAAGTGTTGCTTCTACCGAAGGAGAAGAGGACGGGGAGGAAGAGGCGGACGACGCAACCGGCATCGACTTGACTTGACTCCACACGGTCCCAGAGAGGCTACGCTAAACTCCTGACTGTCTCGGTGAGCGTAAAGTTGAAGAGAGCGAAGTCGGATCTACGGCTGGAAGGCAGGAACACCCTCTCCCAAGTCGATCCGACGACAACGACGACGAAGGGGCCGGAGGGAACGGCCCATGTGGCCGGCGTCACGCGGGCGCGCGCTGGCGGCTGTAAGGGGGGAGAGGGCGACGAGGAGGAGCATCCCCTCCCCCGTCCATGGCGAGGAGGGAGGGCAGAGGGAGAAGGTGTGGCCTGATTCCAGTGGCCCGCGGGTTACAGGCTGTAAGGGCTACATGCAGTTGGCAGAGGAAGAGTTGGAGAGCGGAGGAAGGCGGAGGAGGAGGAGGATGGAGAGGAAGGGGGGGATTAGAGAACATGCGCCCGGCGGACTGAATCACACACCTGCCCTACGTACCCCCCCCCCTCTGCCTCCCTTCCTCCCCCTCCCAACCTTCCCTCGACGTCTCTCCTCCCATCTTTCCCTCCCCTTCCCCTCACTTCCCCACCGCGCCGCGATCGGGCATCCGCTACCCGCCTCTTTCGCCCCTCCACTCTTGTACCCAGAGGCACCAGGACCCCGCCTAAACAGAGGAGACAACTTCCAGGTTGCAAGGGCAGGGGGCGACAGGGCGTGCGAAGCATCTGGCTGTCCCCTCTCCCCCCTTTCCACCTCCTTCAGGGTCCACAGTGCCGTTTGAGATGGGGGGGGCAGGTAGGGGGGCATTACGAACTCGCCAGTGGCCCCTCCTGGTTCCCGAAGACTCTGCATCCAACTTCCCTCTCCAAGATGCCCAAGGTACCGTCCAAGACGGTTCACCAATGACGCCAGGATGGCCTGAAGACGGCTCAAGAGGTTCCAAAATCGTCCGAAGAGGGCGTCTCCCAAAGCACTCCTCAAAATGCCAACAAACACACATAACATCCGAACATGTGTGAATTAAATCCGCGTCCTCGCAATTATGGCATTTCGAGGCCCTTCGGACCAGCCCAAGATGCCTCCAAGGTAGAGTGGGGGCCGATCCACAAGAAACCCACCGCAAGAAACCCAACCCTGAAATCCGCCAAGGTTTCTCGGTACAGGGTTGGGTTTCGTGCACTTCGGCTGCAAACGAAAAAACTCAAGGCACCCTGGCCTGAGAAGCTGGCGTCAAGCAATTGGCCATCAAGAAACCACATTCGATCGAAGATACGAGTCTCGGGCTTTGCATAAACGAAAAAACGGCGGCTTTTCACATAGAAAAAACCATGTGCCCATTCGGCTCAGGCCTACGACAGACTGGCGAAACCCCGCCCGGGTGGCGGGCGAACAAACCCAAGGTACGCCCGAGTGCCCGGAAGTGTCTGGCAGGTTCGGGCGCGCGCTCCGAAACTGACCGACGCCCGAGAAACCCAGGGTGCACTGGAGGATGCAATTTCTTCCAGATTGCGGCGACCTTCGGCGCCGAACGCCAGCCGAAGAACCCGGGGGAACCCTGACGAACTGCAGGGTGCTTCTTGTCATGGGCCCCCATTGTATGACGGAGACGCCCCAAGAGGGCCTCGAGACGACCCAATAGGCCCTGGGCCCCCGACAGTGGCCCAAGAGCAACAGCTCGAATGGGCCCAGGAACCCTCCAGCACCAAATGTCCTCCAAGACCCCCAACGTCTCCCCACGAGGCTCACAAATAACAAACATTCAAGAAGCCACCAGGCGGCTCCCCGTGAGGCACCCAGGAGCCCCTAAAAACGCCTTCAAGAGGCCCCCGAAGAGCCCCAACATGCGCCCACCAAGTCCCCGAGAAACTCTCAAGGGGTTCCACCGCAATCGCAAACGCCCTCCCCTTCCGTCCCTTCTTCGTCCATCTCCCTCGTCGCCCGCCTCTTCTTCCTATCCGTACTCGCGCGATTCCAGCAGTCAAATACATTCACTGGCCATGGTGCTTGTGAGCAATCTGGCATGGACGATGACATGATCCTGGAATATCCCGCGATGCCGCCCTGCAGAGTAAGATCTCCTGTGGCCCTCTAGCCAAGTCCAACAGAGGGCTGAAATATGATATACCTCTCGCACAATATGTGTATGACTCTCCTGGAGCAGCAAACCCACAGAAAGACAAGAGTTCCATGACTCATGACCGTCCCAGTCTCCTACAAGCACCACGACTACATATACATGAACGTCCCAAAAGTGTCACCCACAGACCCCGAGAGGGCCTCTAACAGGCCTCAGGAACACGACCCAGGCGCATCCCCATCTTTCCAACGTGCGCGGGCATCTCTACCCATCTCTACTCAGGATGAGACGGTCTGGCCCAAAGATGCCAACCTTTTGAGGTGTGGTGCTCTCCCCCTCCCTAATGTATCCTTCCACGGACTCCTGAGATGCAACAAACGGACCAGCGGCTACCACGATAAGCCACAGCTCGAAGCCCCTTGGAGCCCTCCACCCCCCAAATCACTCCCACGGCATTCCACGTGCTCCTCTCAGGAACCATCAGCCCCCACAAAATAATCAAAGAGCCCCAAGTTACCCCTCAGAAAGCTTCCCATAGTTCTCAAGGGAACGCCTCGAAGCCTCGGAAGAATTCCGATGCAGCAGCGGCAGAAGAGAGCTCGAAAGGGCTTCGTCGTCACGCTGCCCCTCATCCCTCGCCTCCTCCTCCTTCCCCCATCGATCAACATTTTGCCGACTTCATCGTCGTCCTCTTCCTCCCCTTCCTCTCTTCATCAGCAGTCTGTCAAGTGAGTTCTTGGGTTTCGGCGAGATGTAATGGAGTGGCGTAAACCTCTCGAGTAAGATACGAACAGGCTTTTTCCGACAACGGTGAGCCTCGGTTGGGAAGAAGTTTCCCGACTTTGATCTAAGGAACTGCCAGAACACCAGAGCCGCTCCTGAACCCAAAGTGGTCCTTATGTCAGCGTCTCCGCCGTACTTCGCATTAGAACTGCGGAAGATGGCTGGGATGCAGCGAGCGCGCAGAGCCGGAATGAACGGGGGAGCCAGAATGAACGAGGGAACAAACACAAGAAATATTCACCCTTCCTGGGGGTCCCACAACGGTGCGGTGACAACCGTGCGGTGACCTCGAAATCCCCACATATCTCACCGCACGGTCAGTCACCGCACAAATTGGGACCTTGGAGGCCCAAGTCGCCCAAGACATTGTCGGATAACGACCCAAGTCCCAAAACGGTGCTGTCACCCCGGATTCATTACGCACTCAACCTACCGTTCGTCGCAAGAGAACTACTCCAGAGCCAACCGTTGAGGCCCCCTCCCATCACACCCCGTCTCTGCGGCAGGCCCCCTGTTCTCGAGCCCCTGTGCTCTGAAGCCGATGATGCCGCGCACACCACGACGACGACGGCGACGACGAACATCGTGGACAAGCGTCGGAAATCGTCCACGACGACGGCGAAGTCCTTCAGCAGTCGCCCAAAATGGTCGATGACGACGCCGGCGACCTAGTCTCCGCGGTAGATCCCAGGGACAGCCGACTGCTGGCTGGGACACAGAGGACATACTAATACTAGGTGCCTCTGTTGGGGATGCCCCCCCGACAGGAACATATAGTACACAATCTTGCAGAGTACCATTTACCGAGCGGTATGGCCAGAAAGCGCACGCCACGGAGTTTACACTATAAGATCCTCGAGCGTGCGAGTCACCCCTGCGTGGCCGACGCGCATGTAATATTAGTATGCTCGGGCGGTGCCGACTCGTTCCTGTGTCATCACGCGAAGGGTGTCCGCCCAGTCGTGCTCCGCCCCCGGCCTGTCGCGCATGGCGCCCGACAGCAGCTGCCGGGTGTGCTCCAGCTTCTGCAGCATCGCGGCCTGGCCGCGGAGCGGAGGTCAGGCTTTACGACGGCGCAAGACCCAGAACCCCAGGAGTCATGGACACATTCACGACGGACGGTTTGTCGCTAACTTCGGCCTCTGGGGCCCATGCGGGGCCTCAGGGCGGTCAACACAAAAATTCTGGCTGAAAAACTGGTCCTGGGGACTGGGACGAGACCTCTTGAGGATCGCCGCTACGAATAAAACATGACGCGTTCGTCATCTTCGTCGGCCCGCCGGCCCGCCCTCTTCGTCAAGCCTGCTTCGCCTGCCTGTCTTCGCCGTAGCCTCCGCCCGCGGCGGTCCCCGCCCAGACCACTGACGTCGGGTCCCGCCTGCGGGGTACGGTGTTCATCTCTGCACACCATTGGAAAAGGAATCCAGGATCCTGAGCTATGTCGGGAGGGCCTCCTAGGGGCCCAGGGCATGCAGGGTTCGCAAATATCCCTGCAAACCATCTTTCAGATGACTCACGTCCTGATACAAATGTCCCTGTCAACTTCCCCCGTGGGTATGAGTAAAGTATGTCGCGCCAAATTCGGACAAATCCCAAAACAATGAAAAGGTATGATCGATGCTATGAAACATCACCCGTGCAGAAACAGGAAAAAACAACAAGCATGACAATGTGATGCCCTCTCGGGGATTGACGCATCGGTTCAGAGAGGGGACCCACTTGGTTCCCACCCCGACGCGATCCGGATACAGGTAGAAGCGTTTCGGGCCAGCAAAATCTCAATGTGGGGCCAGCGGGCTCGTACGTAAAACGGCTGGACCCTCGGCACGTCTTCGCTCCCGTGCGTGACCACCGCGAGGGGGGGAGGCAGAAGTGGGGCGAAAAACAACATGAGGGGGGCAATGGCAAGGTGGGGAATGAGAGGATCGCACTGACCAGGGAACGGAAGAGGAGAAGGAGGAGGAAAGACTACAGAAGGAGAGGCATTGAGGGGATGCAATGTGGAACGCTACAAGCTTGCCCCGTCCTCCATTCCTTCCCCTTCCTCCATCCTCCTCCTTCTCCACCGGTCCCCCATCCTCATATTCCTCAGTAGCCCCGACCTCGTCATTCTCTTCTTGCCTATTATATTCTAAAGGCGGGGCGCTAGGCGGGGCTGGCGTCTTCGAGACTTCGGTTGCGGGGGCTTCAGAGAAAGGATGTTGCGACCTGTCCTCGACGAGTCCACCTCTTCATTATCACACTTCGTCGTCATCCTCCATCCCCATTTTCCCACCCTCCTCCTCATTCCGGCCCACCGCGGCGTCTATTTCCGTAGCTGCTTTGGCAGCTTTGGCTCAGATGATCCATTCGTGTGTAACCTACTTGTTGTTCGTTGTGTTTCTGAGCGGAGATGTCCGTCGGATGAATGAGCACGGCGACCCGTGGAGCGCAGCTCTGCACTTTCTTGTTGGTGAGGGCGACGCGCTGGATGATGATCAGGGTGCATGGCAGGAAACTCTAGCAAATCTGGATGGCGAGCGACCTATCAGCGCCGAAGATGATCAGGGGACGTGGCAGGACACTCTAGAAAAACTGGGCAATTACCCAAACTGCATCGGCGCCGACGCCGACAGGGACCCTATGTAGTGCACGTCTGATGCAAGAGACGACGTCGACCGTCTCGCTGATGGTGCTGCTCCGTCTTGTTCCCCATCCTCGCTGTCCTTCGTCATTCCTCCCTCGCGCTCAGTCGTCCCACTTATATTCGTCATCCTTCCTCTTTTCCCTTCCGTTCTCTCCTCTCGCCTCCTTTTAACTTTCTGGTTCCGTCCTCCTCCTCCTCTTCCTCAATCATTCCTCCCTACATGTTCCGTCCACCCGTCTCCCTTCCTTTATCTTCGTCCTTCCTCCTCTTCCGTTTCCCAATGGGCGAGTTCGCTTGCGTGCTGGCCGCGCTAATGCGTGAGACACGTGCGTGTTGCATGTAACCATGCACATTGCATCCAACGTGTGTGCTTCTTGCAGGTGCGTGTGCATATATGTGGTGTGCGCAACAACATGCCAGACACTTCGCTCGTGCGGCACTTCAAGTAAATCAACTAGACAAGGGAATTATGTGTAATGGAACAAATAAGGACGGCCACATATAGTTTCGCAAGTGTGTGCGGGGTCCTTGCGGTTACTTTTGGGCGGGCTTGCGATAGCCTGTGCGTAAACCCCGCGGGGAAGTCCGCAGAGAGTCCAGGGTGGTGCCCTCTAGGAGACCTCTCCAACACAAGTCTGCAGGCCCTTGGAACACCAGTTGAGGCTTGATCATCGACATCACCGCCGCCCTCATCAGATGAGGATTCCTGAGAAAGGTCCAAAGCCTCCTGGAGCACTTGCTTAACGAACGCACCCGCCGTGCCTCGCACTGAACACATCAGGACGGAGATAATTCTTCATGTTCGGTCTCTGAAAGGCCTGACCAGGCCTTGGGTCCATCAAGAAACGGCTCGGTACGAACGACCGACCCTGGGAAAGGGTCGGGACTTCTGGGGAGCGCAAATTCAAAACATCGGGACATTGCACGTCTGGGGAGGAAGTGGAGGACTCGAGGAGGTTTCAGAAGTATGTAGTTTTAGAATTGGGCCGTGCCTGCAACGGGGCTTTTGCCTCGCCCTGTGAAACGACACTCGGCCGTGGCGGCAGCCTCGCCTCCCGCTCCTATTGTTGTTTGACAGTTTCTCTGGGTGTTCTCGGGGCTCCTCTATGCGCATCGCAGGGCAGATCAGAGAACGTCATAGCACAGCATAACACTGAATAGCCCAGAAGCGCTGGCGCTAGCGTACCAGAGCGCAGGGTATTCTGAGCTGGACGTGCACAGAACAGCAACGAGGTAAACATTGCACAACATAGTACAGCCTAGCACGGCACAGTACTTGTACAGCCTGATGGCGTGGAGCACGCGATCCCATGCTCTTCGCCTTCATGCACCGGTGTGAGATGTCAAGCGATGCAATGCTATGTCATTGGCAAGCATGTGATGACACGTCATGCGATGCCTGTAATGTGCAACGCAGTGCTATGCAAGTATCGGCTGATCGATGCTGCTGTTCAATGCGCTGCCATGCTACACCATTCTGCATAATACGTAGCATGTAACATCATTGTGTTGATTTCAACATGATAAACGCATATACCTGTCCCTGTTGCGGCGGACGAGGGGGGAACGCCTTCTCTGCTCGCAGCTGCTGGTTCTCCTGCTGGATGAGGAACAGCTGTTGCACGTGGCTGGCGGCGGAAGGCTCCTCGAAGGGGGGGGGTCGGCGGAACACACGAGTGGAGGCTTTAGAGGGACAAACAAAAACATCTACATTAACTGTCGAAAGCCCGCGCGAGTTCCTTGGACCGGCGCTCGGCCCGCAACTAAGCGCCGCCTCTGGCGCCGCTCCTGGCGAACTCCGCGCGCCAGGGAGAGCCGCCGCTCAAACAATCCGCACGATCCCCCGAAAGCTTATGCTTCTGCAGTGCTTTCTTCTTCGAAGATCTGGCGGAATGCAAACTGGGGGGCCTGCCAAAGTGGGGCCTTTTTTCGAACCAGCGGGGTCCCAACATAAACCCAAAAAGCCCCTTTAGGGCTTTCTCCACCCCCCATTTAAATCATCCCCCATGATCACCCGCCCAAAATAAATCCAGAATCTCTGAGATCCGGCGGTTCTGGAGGATGTTTCGGGCGCCGCAGCTGCTCACGTTCCCCTGGGGCGGGGCCGAGAAGTCCGGGGACTCGCGCTGTGAAGGGAGTGCGGAGTTGGAGGCCTAGGATCGAGATGCCCTGGCGACGGGGGCGGCCTTCTAAACAGATGTCCCTTACGAGCGGGCAACAAGCGCAGCGCGCAGCCGCGGGCGCCTGGCAAGGCGCCAGTCAACCTGCGCGAGACGCTACGCAGCGAGACGTGCAAATCTGCCGAGCTGCCCCCAGCGAAACGTAATTCACCATTCACCGACATGGAGTAACGCCTGCCCGCGCGCTTGCAACTGCACTTTCCACCCAGACATGCACGATCCAACACTTCCGTGGGCGTCGCGGCGCTGGCGCCGCATTGGAGGCAGACGACCTGGCCAGGCCCCTGCGCGAAGGCGCGCGGCGCCCAGGCAAACGGGGTCGTCTGCGCCGCCGTGCCGCGGCGGCGGCATTGGCAGAGAAGAAGAGAGAAGAGAAGAGCATAATGAGGGGGGGGCGAATTCCGCAGGGCTAAGCTAATCTAGCTGGCTCCTGCGAGTCAGGCAGGTCGAGCAGCCGCGGTGAGATGCGCTTCCAGGCGTCGCGCGGATTGGCGACACATTGCAAATTATTCAAAAGCAGGAGGCAATGGTCGCGAACGATGACGACGACGAGAGGAAGATAATACTGCAAGAAATAAACGCATCCGCTTTGCCACGCCGCGGCCGCAAGCGCTGCAGGGTGGGGGTGCGAAGCGCAAACACAGTGACCCCGTGGCGCGCCGCAGCGGGCGCCACGTAAACGCGCTGCGCCGACAAGGCTCCACGAGCGACGACGCTCGCCGTCTCCCCCGGTGAACAAGGTCAGAGAAACAGCAAACGCGGGTGCCGCTCGCTGGGAGCAGGGCCAGCTAACGACAACCGCCTGCGCCCGAACTCCGCGACCATGCAGCAATGGATGCGGCGCTCGGCGTGTCCTCTGCGCGCCCGCGCGCGCGCAGCGGGCGCGGGCACTGGCACGCGGAGACCTCAAAGATTCTGCAAACCGATGCACACACCCGCGGGGGCGCCAAGTGCGCCGGGCCGCGAAGCGCGAGCGTCGCGCGCCCCAGGCGGCGCCCACGGAGAAAGGGGAGGTTCAGGCGCAAGAGGCAGCGGTCGAGGTGGCGGACGGCGCCCTGCTGGCGCGGGTCCGCTAATATAGCCCGATACCGCTTCTGCCATTCAGTCTTCGGCGCCGGCGCTGGCGCGTCGTCTTGGACAAGGGCCTCGGCCGACACTCCAGTTGCTGCTGCGCGTCGTTCCAGATGGCCGCGGGCGTCTCAGCCGGAACGCATCCAGAAGTCGAAAACGACGTACCAGAAGACCACCACGTGCTGTTTTATCCTTGGTGCATCCAGCACTTCGCAGCAACCGCCGCGGTTGTCGCATCGATCAACCCGATTGAAATCCCAAGGAACGCAAGTACTCGAGCGTCTCATGGGTAGTCCAGCAATGGGGGCCCGAAGCGAGGAGCGCGCACGCCTGCTGCCCCGCGGCGTACCAACTGCACGGCAACTGGTCCAGTTGAAACAGAAATCATAATACTGGGAAGACGAAATTGAGGCAGGCCAACAAAATAAGCATCATGCCGCAGCCGATGCCCCGCCACACTTGGTTCGGGATATGAGCTCTTCCAACGGCTTCGCCCACGATGGCTCGGCGCGCTCTGGGCCGACGACTAAGCCCAAGAAGATTGCGTCCTGGTAGATGGTGGAATCGCCCCAGGCGGGCGCTGCCGCCTGTAATGAGGCGCTCCCGCGCGCAACCGTTAACTTCCAAACTGAGCGGGGTCTAAATCTTTTTGCCGCGTAATCCTTGGCAGCCGCCCGGACTCGTCGAAAATACGTTCCAAAACAGCAGCGCCCCCCGCCCCGACGACCAAGTCGTCGGCGTAAGCGCGAGGAGCGGCGTCTGGAATGAGGCGTGGGAACCTCTGCAAAAAAATACGTCAGACAGCACAGCGGCAAGGAACGGCGAGAGGGGGCAGCCCTGGCGGACCCCATGAACTCGAAACCGTCGAAAGTGGTCCCGTCGTGGGCAATGCGACACCTGTTGTTCCGAGATAGCACCCTGACGTACTGTACGCACTACGGTGGCCAACCCTGGGCAGTGATGACATCGAGAAGGAACTCCTGGCTGCCGTTCGGAAAAGCCACTTCGAAGCTGAAGAGCATCATGGCGGAGGAGTTGTGCTTGCGCGAGTAGTAGAGCATGGCTTCTTCCAAAGCCATGAGGTTAGCGACCTGTGCAAGAATCCCCGCTGGCTGTCGGAAATCCCAGGCGCGACGTCCGGCTCAATGTACATGCGGACCGCACTGTCAATTATCCAATTGGCTATATTCGTGATTTTCAATGGACGCATGTTCGAAAGGACGTAGACTTCGACGCCGTCACCAGTGGTGCTTGAAGGCTTCTTGGGGAGGAAGACCATGGATCTCTCCTTGGGTGAGACCCAGTCCGTCTCCGTCAACTCCATGCCGCTGGGGCTCGCGATTGCTAGCACAGCGTCGTGCAGAGCTCTGGTCGCGAAGCTGGCCAAGGCGCGCCAGGCGCGGAACGGAATCCCGTCTGGGCCGGGAGAACTGCTGCTCGTGTGGCTCACCGCGCGATCGAAGATCCCGACGGGCACGATTTCGCCAAATCCGCACCGACGGTCTGCCGGGAAAGCGTGCGCGGCCTCGTCTGCTTGCCATGCGCGGCGCAAGGCTGCATCCGTATCCCGTCTGCGGAAGACGCCAAACCAATGCTGACGCAAAACTCGGGCAATGTGTGCAAGAAGATGTACTCACGTAGCCAGCACTGTCGCTGAGTGCGTGGTGGGAACATCCCCAGCCAGGAGACAAGGGCGTAAGAAGGCGGTGATTCTGCAGCCGCCGTCTCGCAGCCTGTGCTTCGGAGAGGTCCTTCAAATCGGTGACGCCGCGGCGCCAGCAAAGATGAGACGTACGAGCTGCGGGGCGAGGGGGAGTAGAAGATATCAGCCAGCTAGCTCCCCCACTTCAGCGGGCGAAGAAGGGTACAAGATACGATGCTGCGTGATCGGGGGAACCTGTCCCAGGGCGGGCAGGAAGTTTCTACCCCCACCTGCCACCGTAGGGATACAAACTTCCCAACTGCCACGGGACAGGCGTCCCCGATCGCGGGCAAGTCTCGTCTGTACTGCCCGTCGGCCGCTAGTCTGTCAGAGCACTTTGTCGTCTAAGGTAAGCGTGGGGTTCCCAACTTGTGACCACAGGGTACTGTCCGACGCAGCTGTCAGCAAACTCCCAATAAGTTGTGCGAGCGAGTTGTGGGAATGAGGGCTCACACAACAACCGTCTGGTGTCAGATGGCCAGATGACCTTGAGATCATCTGGTCTCTTTTTGACCCAGGAGGCCCCAGGGCGCTCGACTCTCGATACATCCTTGGAGATCGAAACAAAACCCAGAGTTCATGCGTACACCCCCAATCACCTCCTACTGGCGGCACGGCCCTGCAACTGACGCGAAATATCAGGAGAGGAAAAGAAAGAGGAGACAATAAATGGTTGCTATGATCGGTTCCGTGGTGGCCCGTGGGGCCAATCTCATGGAATCCCCGCCAATTGCCCTTACGCATGTGCCGAGTTTCGAGATGCCATGTGGGGTCTCGCCTGGGCCACGCCCAGTGGGCCTTTCTGGCCTGACAGTGAAGACGTGGCCGGGGTTTGTGATCCAGATGCTGACGACATTATCGTCAGAGAAAAGGGGGCCGAACGGTCATTCACTGTCACTGTGCACGTGGTTGAAGTAGGGTGCCGCAGTGCTGATCATTGTTGCGTTGTTGCGTTGATGGTATGGTTGTCCTTGCCCACCACCCGCCCGCGACTCACCCCGCGACCCACCCCGCGACCAACCCAACGACCCCCCTGCGACCCACCCGCGACCATCCCGCGACCCACCAACATTTCTTTGACGAGAACTCTGCGTCTGCGGCGGGCACGATGCGCAATGTACTCGAGCATGGGCGTCTGCGACGGGCTTCTTCAGAGCCTCGCAGACTGCCGACGACCCCGCCACCCCCCTCACTCTTATTCGCAACCGCGTTGTGCTATGTATTGTTCCAATTCTCCTTAGGCAGGCCCGAAGGGTCTTAGAGGGCCTCCCACTCATCCCCCCACCGCCTCCTCCTCCTACGCACAGGTCCCTCTGACTACCCAGCGCCCGCCCTGCACATTCGGTGAAGAGGCGGATCTAGAGGTAGAAGGGGAGGTCGGGGGAGCGGTCGGCAGAGAGAAAGAGAGAGAGAGAGAGAGTACGAGTAGGTCAAGGTCGAGAGAGAGACAGACTGAGACAGAGAGAGATAGGTCACTCAATGGACTCTGCCAGAGAAAATGCGCACCTTCCGACAACTAGCAAGCCGAACGAAAGGAGAACCCACGTGCAAGTGCCAACTAACAATGCTCGTCAGATCACGGCACGTCGACCTGGGAGTCCCCCCTGAGAGGACCACTAGATTAAGAGGAGAGTCTATCGATCTTCTGGCCGACACTCACAAACAACTATTGACCTCCAACACGTGCTGCCACAAGCAATGCCGAAAAACAAAAACCGACCCTGACGATGTCAAACAAGAACGTGCGTTCGAAACGAAGAACGGAATGACACCCAACATTAGAAACGAACGTTTAACACGAAACCGGTGCCAAACGACAACGAACAACGAAACGAAGCTTTCAAAAAACAACCGAGCCACGGAATGAAGCACCAACCGAAAACGGCACGCACACCACAACAAAGGCCCAACCAAAGCTGAACGGCGGTGTGGACGGTCCTTGCCAGAAACATCGCCATCGTTGCCGCAAGCACGACCTTGCTCAGTGCGTCAGCAGAGGGTCACCGTCAAAATCTGGTGATGCTACGTACAGTCTCTTCGAGCTGGACTCCTTTTGGATTGCAATGAACGCAGGCGACGGTGGCCTCGCGCAGAGATACAACTCCCACCCGACTGTGCACCATCATGTTTGTCGAGCCTGTAGCACAAACGAGGCCAACCGGCTGGGGTCCTCTGCTGCAGCCTCCGGCATCTGCCACACGTAGTCAGGGTGCGCCTTCTGGGAGGTTTGGAGGGCATGCGTATGTTCAAAGATGGGCCAGGAGAACATGAGTGTGAGAGGGCGGAGGCTGAGGGGGACTAGGGAACAGGCCATGTAGGAGGGGGTGGGTCAAAAGAGCAATGGGCAATCATGCCTTGAATATCGCTTACCACCACTGGGGTTCTTGGGAACTTGCCCTGATGAACAGTTCCCCTCCACGTACGCTTGGACAGAGTCACTGCATATTGAAATACGTATCTCCTCGTGTTCAATCTCTTTCGAAAAGAGCATCCAGGCTGTTACCTTAAGGATGCCCCTGACCTCTCACTCTCTCTCTTCCTCTCTCCCTCTCGCTCTCGCACACTTCCGCTCTCTGTCTTTTTCTTTCTCTCTCTCTCTCTTTCTGTCTCTCTCTCTCTCTCTCTCCCTCTCTCTTCCCCTCCCTCCCTCCCACCCACTTCCTCTCTCTCTCTCTCTGTCACTGCGTCCCGCCCCCGTCCTCACCCTGCCTCTATCTCTCTCTTTCTCTATTTCTTTTTTTTTGTTCTCTCTCTCTCTCTCTTTTCTACATCTCTCTCTCGCTCTCTCGTTCCTCCCTCCCCCCCCCCTCTCGCCCACATGGGCCGCTCCAATACATCTATGTCTCTCTTTCTTCCTTCTTCCCTCTATCCCCTCTCCCCCTCCCTCTGTTTCTCTCTCTTTCTCTCTCTCATGCTCCTCCTCCTCCTCCTCCTCCTCCTCCTCCTCCTCCTCCTCCTCCAATGTATATCGCTCCCTTCCCTGCTCACCGCGCTGCCCTACCCCCGGACGCCCCGCAAGCTGGACCGAGCCGGCGGGGCGAGGACCCTCTTGGGTCCCGCGGCGGGAGGGAGCCTGCTGCAGCTCCCGCCTGCGCTCCTGTGGGCCGCCCGGCGCGGGGGGAGGACTTCTGGTGATCCACGACTTCGGTGGCAGCTCATGTTGGCGGCGAGCGAGGGGGGGAAGTGCGAAGGGGAAGGCCTTCTCAGAAGGCTCTGAAGTCTCCCGGCCTGTGGAGAAGTTGTCTGGGCCTTCGCCGAAGACAGAAACAACTTCTGAGAAGGCGCGAGGGCTTCTGAGAAGGCCTTCTCCGTCTCGTTTCCCCTCCTCGCTCGCCGCCGATGTTGGTGATCCACGACTTCGGTGGCAGCTCGTGAGAGCCTCCCATGCCAATGCTGCTGGCTGGCTCTTGCAAAGCGACGCTGGCCGACGCTAATCGACGCCATGCTTGGGAGGCCCCCCCGCCTACGTTACAGGACTGCTTGCCCGATTCGCTCGCCGAGACCCTTTTGCACATCTGCGCGAAGAGGGGGAACACAAGGACCAGGGATAGCAGAAGGAGCGAAGGAGGAGGACGAGGATGAGGGGAATAGCCAAGGATAGCAGGAGGGAGGGAGGACAGGACGAGGAGGGAGGACGAGGATGAGGGGGAGAGGGGAGGAGAAGGACCAGGGATATCAGGATGAAGGGGGGGGATAAGGATGAGGATGAGGACAATAAAAATGTGGGGCCCCATTGGTCAGCTTGGGGCAAGGCGTGTACTCGAAAACAAATGCGGAAAGACGAGCGTGAGAAGGAGAAGGATAATCCACCGCCAGGATGGAGCATGCAGGAGAAACGACGAGAACACAGGAAGCATGATGCGAATGACTCAGGTGATGATCATGGCGGCGCTCTGGCAGCCGAGCGCGGCCTGTCGAGCTGATCAACAAAATGATGCACCAAGCGCACATAAACTTAGAGAGTCAACCGAGGGAGGTGAGCCCCATGAACGGGCCTTGAATACTCGTTCTACAGTGAAGGACGACCTCCGAGGAACAGGCAAGAGGAAGCTACGCCTGCCATCAGGGCCTGCGTGCAGAAGGGCAACAGAAACGTCAGATGCTATCAATGCGTGAGCGATTAGGAGAAAGGCAGAACACGTCTTGATAAGAACTGGGTTCGGCAGAGACCTACCGTTCGGGTAAGGAGGCCACCAGGAGGGAGGGCAGTCGCACATCATGCGCCCGTCGCTACGCGGGAGACGCGTCGGGGAGGGGGGGAGGGCGGGGCACCTCACCAGCCGAGTCGCCAGACTCACGCGGACCAGGCCGAGGAGGAACACGAGTGGGCTGCAACGTCTCACCGCCGCGCACGAATATGATGTGGCTCTTGCTGCTGGCCAAGGTTGCACATCTGGCGTGGTCAGGTCTCAACTGATCGCGTCGAGCCACAGCGACACTTCGTCGTCGAACCATCCTGCTGGCGATGGTCTCTTGCCGGGTATCGATCCTCTTGTTCAAGTACGCCGTGGTCACGACCCCGCACAACTCTCAGAACGGCGCGGTCACCATGATCTCGGCGGTCTTCTCGTCGTGCGACCGCCTGCAAAACGAGCTCGAGATCCTGCTTGTGGATGGCGGCCACGCCCCCCGCCGGTGGCTGGACCGTCTCTATGTAGAGGTTGATCTCGTTCTTGCTCTTGCCGCCGATGTCGCGCTCCAGCAGCCCGTCTAGCAGCGCCATCGCCACGCTCGCCGCCAGAGAGCCCACCGTCTTGGGGGCGCCGCACCCCTTCGCGCGCGCCTCGGCCACGACCCCCTTGAACAGCTCGACCTCGCTCTGCAGGGCCTTCACGGTCGGGTGGGAGGACGGCATCGTGAAAATGTCGATCACAATGCTCGCCGTGAAACGCTGGCGCTGGGCCGTCTGATACGACAGCTTCAGTACGGCTTTCAAGGGCGCCCTCAAGCTGGCGTCTTTCAAAGTCCAGGTTTCATCTGTGTGGATCTCTTTCCTTTTGTGGCGTTTGCCCCCTCGGTGGGTTTTCTTGTCCTTGCCGCCCTTGGCCCGCTCGACGCCCTCGACCTCCATCTGGGGGTATGTCTGGCCCATCTTCTGCGTCTTCTGCGGCGGTGTCGGGTCGGATGGTCACCTTTTGCCAGAGTTCCCAAACGCCTCGGGGGAATCCTTCGGGGCGAAAAGAAGGAGGAGGACGAGGATAAGGATGAGGATGAGGAGAAGGAGGAGGAAGAGGAGGAGGAGGAACAGAGAGCAAGGAAGGGAGGAGCGGCACACGCAGGGAAGTCGAGGCCCTCCTCCCTCGGCCACAGGCCGCGCAGCGATGGGCGGGCAGCAGTGGTAGTACTGCTGGTGGGCTGCGACGGAGCGGGTGGTGGTGATCAGCGGAGGGGACCATACGAGCCAAGGGCGAGAGGAGCCGAAAACACGAGGTAGGGAGGAGGAGGAGGATAAGGAGGAGGAGGATGGCGACAGCCACCCTGCGAGAGGGGACAGGTCGACTGCACTGCGCTCGACCTCGGCGGCGGAAGGTGTCCCTCCTCCTCCTCCTCCTCCTCCTCCTCCTCCTCCTCCTCCTCCTCTTACCCCTCCTCCCACTCCTCTTCTTCCTCATCCTCCTCCTCCAGCAGGAACCAACATCATGAACACCAACGTCGTTCGTGACTGCGAGGGGCGCTACCGTGCACAGCAGGGCTGTGAAGAGCTGGGGCCCCACGTCATGAGCTACAGGGCCACGCAACCCTCTGTCGCCCAGGGCTGGCCTGGGGGTAGGAGCAAGCGATCAGCCATCGCGCGCGTATGGATGCTACAGGGAAGCGCAATTCTCTCTCGCACAGCGCTGCTGGATCTCTGCCAAATCCTCTGGAGGGCCAGATCTGGCAGGGCCGCGCAGGTCCAGCAGCGCCGCGTTCTGGAGCTCCAGGGCGATCATCTGCCTGCGGGCGGAGGGCAAGTGCCACGCGCCGTCCTGGCCACGCGGGCGAGTGGGGCGGAGGATGACGACGAGGAGGATGACGAGGAAGAGGATGTTGTTCCGAGGACTCGGATGCTTCTGCATCCCCACGTCTGGATAAATTGCTAGGTCATGCTGCCTATCCCCTGGGAGAAAGGCGAAGCTTCAGTGCTGGCCATGCTCCTGTCCACCAGTGCCACCCGTGGACCGAGCTCGCCGACTCCATTGTTAAATGGGCCCGTTCCGCCCCTCCTATCGTTCGGTCACTCTCTGTCCAGCTTGATTTCAGGCCGGCATGGACTGGACGTGGCTATCAGAAGCTCCTTTGGCCGATGGCCAGGCGTACCCTCCCGTTGAGCGCAAAGGTTTTATGTTCACTCCCCGCCGCTCCCCCGTGGGCCTCTGGTCCGTCCCTGGACAGAGCGACGTGCCACCAGCGGCACTACCAGAACCAATGCCAGTAAGCAAAAATGTCCTGGCGAAAGGCCCAATCATATGCAATTGTGAATGCAGCAGCTGTGACTACCGTCTTTGGAGGAGCTCCCTTATGGGGCCACGAAACGTGTGAGGGGTATGCCGAATCTGGCTCGCGGCCGCCATGCGGACCCAGCCGGTGAGGCCTTCGGTGGAGCTCCCTC